TGACCAAAAATAGCATCGAACCCATCGATGGACTATTGTTCATCGGTATGGATGATATGCCAGTTGTAATCGGCGATGAACTCAGTATAAGAGAACCAGTGGTGACGGATGGCATCACTGGTGTCATAATTGCCGTCGAATAATTTGAATGTATTACTGATGGATTCGCTAAATGATTGGTTTGATTGGTTTGAGTGGTTTGAGTGGTCGATACATGGGATCTATTAGTAAAAACTTCTGGTGATTTGGAAATCTTTATGGATTGGTTTGAATGAATTGATGGCTCTTCCGAATGCCTTTTTCTTTTTGTTTTATTGCTCTTAGGTTTGGATCCACTGACAGATACCAACAAATCTTGATTCACTTTAGAAATGGCTGTTTAATCAACACACCAATCAATTATTAATATACATAAAGTTTTACTATATTTATGACTTGTAAAGAAAGTGTCGTTATTTTAAAATAGACGATATATTGCAATAGAAATAAGTGTAAAATGAGTTGTTTTGAATGAAATACCAAAAACTGGTCCAAAACTTACATTCAAATATTCTTTCGGTCGACTGTTTGACACTTTTATTATTGCAGTCAAGAATTGTATACAATAAGTAAAATGTGGATGAATTTGAATCAATTCCTCGACTTTTCATTGAGTCAATCAATTTCTTCACTTTATCGGTCATCTCTTCATCCGATTCCGAATCAGAATCTATTAATGGGTTTTGAATAATGTTTCAAATAGTAATACATTTACAATATTTTATTATACATTACAATAATAATACTATTAATGAATAAATACTGACTTTCATCATAAGAATCGTCTAACGGTTCAGATTTGATATCAATTTCATCGTCGGAATCGGTGTCTATTGTAGTGATGTCTTCGTCGGCACTTCTTTTGGCACTATTTTGCTGTGAATTTGTTTGATTGGCGTTCGAGTCGTTGGTCTGCGAAGAGTTTGTTGGCCTCTCTTCCATCTCTTGTCTCACTTCGTCCTCCTGTTGTTGTTGTCTTCTGAGCGCTATCTGTGCGGCCATTATTTTCTGTCTCTCCACTATCAAAATGCACTTGCTGCAATTGCACTCTTTACGCGGGCACTTCCTTTTGTGGCCTGAAGTACACATCAACAAATATGAGTCAATGTAAAGATTAAAGCGTATAAATCACTAAATCCGCAATTAGTTGATTCAGTATATAATTAAAAGTAATTATTACTGCATTTCTTTCAAATAAATTTTATTATAATTATGAATATAATGTGGAAAATGGTATAAAATTTATAGTCAATATGAAGGGTGCAATGGTGTAGTGGAAGTGTTACCTTTGAGGGCGACATCCTTGCCGTGATTCCTACATCGGGCACATTTGGGATTCTTGCCAAACGCTCCGCTCCTTTGCTGTTCGGGCGTCAGATTGAGTCCAGCGATCACTTCATTACTCATCGCAATCACAGCTCAAACGTCGAGCAAACGATTCGCAACACAACTAAACAATAACTAAAACCACTATTTATTTGCAATACTTTTTGATTTCAAAGTTTTATATTTTTATTCAAAAGTTTGTCTATAACTCGTGTTTAACGCAAACTCAATCATTGGTTCACACCATTTATCAAACTCTCAATATTAAGATTTTAATATATTGGGCGAAGTGTTAGCATTGGTTAACCATTTAAATGTGTTTCACTGGACTCTAAGTCCATCAAACCGGAGACATAAGTGTTTTGAAAGTTGGGATCAGTTATGAAAGCAGTCCT